TCTCAAGAACCCAGCGATCTGCTGGGTTCGATAATCATAAGCAGCCATATGGGTAAATTTTTTCCCTCAACCAATTTTTGCCAAATTCTCAATAAGAACAGCCCACACAAACAAAATATTCACTAGCAAAATAATCAGCTGCAACCCAAAAATATCCCTAAAATTCAAGCTTCTAAACATAAATATTTAAAAAAAAAAATCAAACCTGGCAAATCGAGAACCCAGCAGATCGAAGAACCCAGCATGCTTGCCTGGGTTCGCACCGAACCCAGCACGCTTGGGTTCCTTGCGAACCCAGACGTTGGGTTCGCAAGGAACCGAACCCAAGCGATCTGGGTCCGTTGAACCCAGACGATCTGGGTTCGTTGAACCCCGGCCGAACCTAGATTGCTTGAGTTCGACGGACCCAGATCGCCTGGGTTCGACGGACCCAGGCGAATCCAGCACCTGGGTTCGACGGACCCAGGCGAACCCAGCGCTTAGGTGGGTTCGTCGAACCCAACACCAGGTTCGTAGAACCCAAGGTGAACCCAGGCGAACCCAGCGCCTGGGTAGGTTCGTCGAACCCAGCACCAGGTTCGTCGAACCCAGCCTTGGGTTCGATGAACCTAGGCGAACCCAGCGGGTGGGTTCGAAGGAACCCAGGCCTGCTGGGTTCCAAGGGGAAGGAGGAAGAGAAAGGGGAAGGAGAAAGAGAAAGGGAAAGGGGAAGGAGAAAGAAAAAAGAAATAAAGAAAAAAGAAATAAAGAAATAAGTTTTATTTTTTATAATATTTTTTTATATTATTTTTTTTCCACATCATCACTTTTTGATTATATTACTTTCCACGTGGATGACTATATGACATGTCATTTGGTAACCGTTAAGTAACAGGCCACGTCACACAATTTTTAACGGAAAGACCAAATCGGGGTAAAAATGGTAAACAGTAAGGACCAAATCAGAGATTTTTTTAGTTCAGGGACCAAATCGGGGGTCCGTACAATAGTTCAGGGACCAAAAAGGGGTTTTAACCAATGATTAAAGTCTAGGAACTTATAAATTTAAATCTAAAAATTGAAATTAAACAAACTGCATGTCTGGATATTGTGCAGAAACAAAAGAACAAAGGTAGAAAATGTTCAACCTATTTACATGAATTAATAACATAACTAAATCCATAAAAGGAAGAAGAACTAACCGAATCAAAATGGCAAACCTGTTTTAAAGGCTAAGTTACTTCCAAATGCTTAAAAATTAATCTAAATTGGAATTTGCAGAAAAAAATATGAACAAAGATGAATAAACCTAGGCTAAGGCTATGAACTAATCTGGAAAATCTGGAAACTATTGCTGAAATCTGAAAAATGCAGTCTGAAAGCTGAAAAACATGCTCTAGGCAGTCTGTGTGTGTGTTGGGCAGCCTGAAACTGTTCTCTTCTCTCTATATTTATTTTCTTCGATGTTGGTAACTTTCTCCATGATCTTCGGTACTGTTCCTCGATTTTCGGCACTGTTCCTCCATGATCTGGTAATGGGATTGCAAGTCTGGCAGTTATTTAATAGTTATCCGATTTTTATTTAACCTTATCTCCAACAACCTTAAAGATAACTACCTAAAAATCCTCAATTTCCCATTTTAAATCAAACTCAAACTACCAGATCCAATCTTATCTTCTGCCACTTAAGATCCAACCTCCTTGGAAATCCGTCTGGGCCGTTAAATTGTAAGTCAGCCCAGCCCAAATCCAGCCTATTGATTTTCTTGATAATTGGGCTTTACCTTGACACGTGGCCTTACCCTATTGGTTTATTTTAGGTGTAACACAACTTAATGCAACATTTTTAAGATTAAGACTTTTATTTGTGGTTGTAGCTTATGGTTTATAAATATTACAAATTTATACAAAAAAAAAAAATTGTTTATAATTTTCATGTATTTTTTAAACATATTATCATAAGAACAAAAATAGTTTTAATAATATTAAATAACTTTATATTTTTTTGTTGTCAATATTAAAATTTGTGTCAAACAAATTGTTATTTTTTATTTTTAGCTTTGGTTTTTAATAATTGTAAAATTTATGAAAATCAAAAAACATAATCATACCAAATAGAGCCTTAATAATTAATAATAAAGCCACATCAACAGATATGCTACAAGCCTAGTTGGAAAGGCTTATGTGCTTTGAAGGGCACGGGTTCGAGCCTTATTGATGGCATTTAGTTTCAAAATTTTCTCCGAAATTTGAACTAGTCGGCTCAAATGGTTCCTCGACTTTACTTGTTTTACTAGTTTGATTGGTTTCAAGCAATATAACCACTTAAGTACTTGTATATACCTAACTAGACCAAATTTATGATCAATCACAGGTTCAACAGACTAGATAATTCAAGCAATACTCTAAATTTATTATTATGGATTTATGACTAGTCTAGTTTCATTTTAAAAACAATGATATGGACATCAAGGACTCCACTAGGTTTATTATCCAGTTGGAAAGAGTAACCATTCTCATATTAGCTCCAACATCAAAAAAAAAAAAAGAAGACATAGTCTATACTTGATTAAATAAGCTCTCCACCTTCATCTCATTTTGTTTACACCATTAATTACAAATTTATTTGATGATACCTTGTCACATTGTTTGAATATGTGGCTATGATTAAGCCATGTAAGACTAGAAGTTTTTGTGATATGGAGTATGATAGACCTTATTAATAGGATGGTTGCCATGTGGAATGTCAAATTTGCAGATTTGTTAACTATATCCTAATAATTTGGTCTTATTTGATGTTAGTGGAGATGACGGCTAAATTTTAGGAGAAAGTTGCCAGCCAAGGTCAACAAGTGAGTTAAGTGGTAGATAAGTGGTTAGTGCTAAATCAAGTTTTGAATATGTCTATTGCTTAGTTATCTAACTAATTCAGAAAGTCTGTCACAATCTACACAAATGGAAAGTGGGTAGTTACAAGCCATCTTGAGACATTTAAAAGAGAAAATTTTAGAACAAGGAAGACATGACCAACTCTACACACAACTCACTAATTCAGCATTCTGGTTTTCATAGTTACTATTTAACATAGCTCATATATCTTAGTTTTAGCACAATTAGTAGTTAGATTTAGGTTAATTCTAGTTTTTCTAGAAATTTCTTTTGTGTATTTGGTGACTTTGGGATAAGTACCACTTGGTCAAATATCTACTTATATGGTTTTCACACTTCTTATTAGTGTTCATGTCAATTTCAATCTTGTTTGCCTAAACATAACAATTAGTTACTTTCTTCCTTAAGTGGCTTCTTTATTAGTGTTGGAAGTAACAGAAAGTTAATGTCATGTGATGCCAGTTGTTAAATTTAGGATCATTTGTCAAACTTAATTAGTTAGAGGGGCAATTTGTCATTGTATTTAGTTGGAGGATCGAATCTACTCCCTGCCTCCATATTTGAGGGCCAAATTTAGTGGTTCGACATTTTTCTTGCAATAATTCTTAATACTTCTATTATAAATTTGTTGATGATCACTTAAAATGTCATAAAAAAAGGGAGGGTTTGTAAAAAATTAAGACTCCATTTAGTATGGTTGTAGTTTTTGGTGTTTTGTTTTAGTTTTATAAATTCTACAACTCAAAACAAGAAACTCATTTACTTCATTGTGTTTTTGCAATATATTATCTTGATTATTAGAAATAAAAACAAAAAAAATTAATATTATTAAACAAGTCTATATTTTTTATTATTAGTATTAAAACTTGTTTTGAATAAATTTCTAGCTTTTGATTTTTAATTTTGGTTTTCAATTGTTGCAAAATTTATGAAAACTAAAACCAAAAGTCAAGAGGCACAATCAATCATACTAAGAAAAGCTTAAGTTTTAAGATTGAAAAATGGAGTCACGACTTACTCAAATAATGGTGGAATAGGTCACCGCCAATCTATAAAAAAAATGAGATCCAAGGATACTATTAGAATTGAGGGATGGCCAAACGTGTACCTCACAATGCTCCGTAGAAACTATGTTTGCATACTTTAAAGTTTAGGTTTTAATTCAGCCTATATTATTTTAGGCCTCAATTGACCTGAATTGAGAGAAATGAGGGGGAAATTGAAAATTTTATAAAATTTTGGACTCAATTGACATTATTTGAAAATTAAAGATTGAGGACTAAATTGGCAAAATTGGAAAGATTTGGATGAGAATGAAATTTTGTAAAATGAGGGAATTATTTTGTAAATATTGAGATGTTTTGGCCAAATTGAAAGAGATTCATAACCCTTGGGGTTGGTTGTATTTATCTTACTGATAAATATTTGACATTCCCCCATCAGAAAAAAGATTCAATCATACAGAATGCAGTCTGCGAGTGCAAGTGAACAAGATTACTCAAGCTCAACTCAGAACTTTTGGCACAACTACTGAAATTTGCCAACATGGCTCACATAGGTGATCAGTAAAAAGTTGCTTATAGACCAGTTCAGATTCAGACAAACTAATACTTCAATGTAATCTGTCATCACGAAAATGAAGAGAGCTACATCTTATGTAATCGAAGATATGTTGTTTGTATAAGAGAGCTCTGAACACTCACTAAACTTCCAATGGCCCATCTTTGTCCTCCTCATAACACTACTTATTCTCATAACCGATATCACGGATACAGCAGTATAGTTCATTGAAATTTAGAAGCTAACAAATCAATATCTGAATTCAGCATGAAAATAAATTCCAAATTTATTACTATTCAGAACTGTTTAGGGAGTTAAACACGAATAAATTAAGAATTTATACCATCATTTATAACCCATGAATAAATCATTTTTCATTAAGTAAAATACCTACAAACAATTAATAGGAATTAGGTACAGAGCCGATTATTCGCGTAGACATGCAACTGATAAAATAAAATAAAATAAAAACCGTAGACATACATCCCAAATCACTACACCAACTCAGATTTACTGAGTACCTTATTAAAATACGTTGGGTGGCAGAAAAGCAAGAAAGCAAATGGTTCTCTCATCTCATGCGCTGGCAGTTTCTGCAGTTCGCTTGGCTTCAAGCGTCTTCTCATATTCCTCAATGGACTTGAAGAGCTCTGAAAAGTTGCCTTTTCCAAACCCTCCACATCCACCCTTCTGGTACACCTTTCCTTCCTCATCCTTGAGCATGCACCCAATTCTCTGAATTATCTCTATAAAGATAGTTGGCCTGCAAAAAACACCAAAAATAAAAACTGTTTGCAATCTAAACCTTTCTCTGAATTCTGTTCCCTTTTAATACTTTGAATCAACCTAGGCATAATATCTTTTGTGAATTAAAGCAACCAAGATTTCAAAATTTTCATTTTCAACTATTTCATTTCAACAATGTCATTGAATGATTGAGTCTTATAGTAGCAAATTAATGTTAAAATGATCAAAGAATAAATTTAGTGTGAGTAATGCACATACCTGTCTCCCACAGGCTTGGTGAAAATCTGAAGCAGAGTCCCCTGATCGTCCCTGTCAACCAAAATTTCCAATTCCTCACACTCCTTAATCTGCTCATCAGTCAACACATCCCCAGCCCTATTCTTCAAATTCTTGTAATACGTAGGCGGTGGTGATGGCATGAACTCGAAACCTCCAACCCAACTTCTCTTCTTCATCTCTCTGAGAGTCCTGAAAATATCCTCAGTTACCAGTGCCAAATGCTGTAGCCCTGCCCCCTCGTTATGCTCCAAATAAGTCTGTATCTGGCTCTTCCTTTTGGTCCCGAACACCGGCTCGTTCATGGGCAGTAACACCATCTCATCGTTGTTGGCTAGCACCACTGAGTTGAGTCCGCTCTCACTTGTTCCAACATCTTCAGCAGTGAACTCAGCAAACTCGTGAAACCCAGTAAAAGCTTTCACATAGGACACTGCTGGACCCAAATCCGGCACGTTACCCACGGCATGATCGAGCCGCCGGATACCGTAATCCAGTGGGAATGACAAATTCTCCTCAACCTTTTCAAATCCAGGCAAGAACAAACTCCCAGCACCATCATCTGGATTCGAATTGGAGTTTTTATAGCTGATATAGCGCAACACGACATCGCCATATAGATGGACTTCAGCTATAACAGCACGATTGCCGAGCACAATTGGGGAGGAAGATGGCTTTGCGCCGTGGGCAACGCTGGTGGCGAAGGCAACCTCGGCATCCTCAACCTCAATTGCGAGTGCTCGGACGCCAAGGCCATGCGAGGCGGAGAAAGCCCGGCAAGCGGCATGGTCAAAGGTGGGGATGGAAGCAGTTTCAGTATGGGAAAATTTCTCCGCTTCAGCAATAGTGGGCGAATAGGGTGCAGTGAAGAGAAATTTGAGATCTCCAGATGAGATGAGATACGAGGCATGCGTCATGTTTCCGGTGGAGAGGTCGGATTTGGCCACCAGCTGCATGCCGAGCCCCCAGGAGAAGCGGCGGGCAGTGTTGGTAGCATCACTGCACCAGAACTCCACATGGTGGAACTTCTTCACCTTGAATTTGTCAGATTTGGGATTGTTTCGAACGAATTTGGAAAATCCAACCAATTTGAAGCCATCGACGCCGTTACCTTCTCCCATGGTTTTCTCCTTCCTCCGTCAGCAGGAACTGATGGGTATGTAATCTGCTAAGCAGCCCTCATCTTATATAGAGGATTTTCAGGACATGCGGAGTACTGTTATTGGATCCAGTACTTTAGGTAATACAAGTGTACAACTTGTTTTCTTCTTGAGATAAAGAGCTAAAAAGTAAAAACCATTGTTAAGCCTCTGGACTTTCCTTTGATTACCATATAAGCCCCTAAACTAAAACGTCAAGCGGATGAGCCCCTGAATAGTACTATCAATGCAAATTACCCGTTGCGTCAAGAATGATGTCTCCGTTTGGACGCCGCATCCACGTCCAAACAAAAGTTAACTTAGACTTGGAAAACAAAAATTAACTTAGATTTCGTTTGGAAATACTTATTGATTCTTTATATTTTAATTTTATATTTTTTTATTATTTTAAAAATATATAAAATATTAATTAAAATAAATATTAAATATATTATTTTTTTTAAAATATTAAAATATCAAAAATTATACAATTGCAACTACTACTTAACATTCCCATTCCAAGCCTTACTCTACTTCTAAATAGGTATGAAGTAATCCAAAGGGCCTGTTTGGTTACCCTCTCATGCTTGAAAGTTTTTTAGGCAGATTATTTTTTCTGGGTGGATTATGTTAGCGGGGGAACGTTACACAATTTTCTTGTGTTTATTTGCTCTTTTTGTAAAATTTTTTTTAAGCATTATAGTTTACTATAATTTGAATATAATCGGTTGTGTTATTTAAAGAAATTATTTGTATAATGAATTATAAAAAAAATATAATCAGTTATAAAAATAAAATAATTAATTTTATAAATTAAAATAATTAATTATGTATATTTTTAAGTTTATTAATAATTGGTTTTCAATTAGGAAGAAGAATTCAAACCTAAGTCTGATTCTCTTCACACCCCGAAAGGAGAGCTCCCTTGTCAAGTTTGCAATAAAAAATACTAAACACAAATTTTTTTTTTTTGAATTAAACTTTTTATGCATTTCTCGAGATTGTTGAGGATACCAATTAGGCCCCAAGAGTTCAATCTACAAGTAAATATTTAAGTTTTAGAGTAAAAAATATAAAATAATAATTTTTAAAAAATATATCATACTGACGTTAAAATGCATCCCTAAGTAATTTCGATTGAAAGTCCCTTCGAATTTTACTTAATTACAATGTATATTATATATAAATAAATATAAATTAGTACATATAAACTTTAACTCTCAAAAAAATTAAAGTTTTAATTTATATTTAAAATTGAAATCTAATTTTATATTTAGTTTTTAAATTTAAACATTAACATTTAATAAAATAAAATTTTAAATTTTAAATTAACTTTTAATTAAATAAAATGACGTAATTTAAAATTAAAATTTCTATTTATTTTAAGAGTTAAAATTGATATATATTTTTGTTATATATATATTTAACTCTTTAAATTTGAGTGCAGTGTATCGTGAGTTATTCTTTTAAATTTTTTTAAAAAAACTTACATATAAAAATTGATATGTTAATTAACATTTTTAAAAATAACTGACAATTTAAATATTTTATTTACCTAGATAATACATATCACTTTTTAAATTTATTTAATATTTATAACCCTTAATAAAATTATATTTCATATTGTTAAATTTTTATAATCAACAAATTAATTATGGATATTAGATTAATTTAAAATTTAATGTACATGATTTACATAATAATATTTTTAATCTAACAGTTAATTTTAAAAATATTAATTAAAGAGTTAGAATTCGTTTACATACAATTTTTATTTTAAATAGAGAAGACATCTATGGCCAAATCCTTAAAGAAGAAGAAATCCTACTCCAATAAGCAGTTGAAAATTCTCTTTGAGTTCTATTCAAAGAAGGAGATAGCAATTTTGTTTATTCCTTCCTAAGTTAGGAATCCTACTGCATTAAGGAAAAATCACGTCAATTCCTACTAGGAAGTGCTTGAACTGATCTATTCGTTTTAATTTGTTTGGGTTGATTCTTTTATTGCTTTTCTTGGTCCTTTTTTTGTGTCTTTCTGTTTCCTTTAACTCTTGCAAATTTGTTGAAATTAGATTGCTGCAAAATAATTTGAATTGAGCTTGTTTAGTTCAATAACGAACTGAAAGAGGAAAGTTGAGTGAGGGAAAAAGGTAAGAGAAGCGAGCAACACTTAAGAGAAAAGTCAAGTTTTACAGTATACAAAACACGAGCGTTGAGTGCCATTCTATGAGAGAGTGGAGTGAAACATGTAAAGGAATGTTGTAAGATCTTATTATAAACCTGATTTAGTTTATATAAAATTTTAATTATTTATTTTTTTATCATCAATAATTGAGATTTATTAAAAATTTTTAAATGAATAACTCAAAAATAACATTGTAAAAAGGATAAAGATATACACACGCTCTAACGTTACACATTTTATTACACCCTAACTATCTCCATTATGCAAACTGACCCAGGTCGGGTTCCCACCATGAGAACCCAGCTCGGGTTCTCAGCAGAGAACCCAGCTCGGGTTCTCATCAGAGAACCCAACTCGGGTTCTCCAGTGGGAACCCGACCTGGGTTCTCTGGTGAGAACCCGAGTTAGGTTCTCACGGTGGGAACCCGACCTGGGTTCTCACCACAGAACCCAGCTCGAGTTCTCCACCGAGAGAGAGAAAAAAAAAAAGAGGAAGAAAGAAAGAGGTGAGGGAAAGAAGAAGAATGATCGGTGTGTACTTGACGGATTCCATTAGTGTGCGGATAGATGTGTAACAGCAGAGGATAAGCCTATCATTGTCCTTGTAAAAAACACTTTTCCCTTATTTTTCACTCTTTCACCTCGATTATAGTACATTATATAATAGAACTTTTGAATTAATTATATAAATTATAATATCGGGAAAATGAGTATTCTTCTGTCTTCCTTTTTTTTTTTTTTTTTCTATTCCTTTCATATTCAATTCCTAAGTAGTGGTCAAATAGCCTTATGGTGGTAACTTGGTTTAGAAAACCAATTGCTTATAAATTTTTACAAAAGACTTCTAATTTTAAATGTTGGATTTAAATTCCCCTCTTTAATTTTATACTTGTTAAAAAAAATAGCTTCACAGTGGGGCTTTCATTATCTATGAAGCCTTGTTAAAGTGCAGCACTATTTTGCTCCTAAATTTAAAAAGTTTGTGGATTAAGTTAAAATTAATTATTTTTAGGGTAAAGTCTTGAAAAAATAAAAAATAATATTTAATTTATTAATTATTTAATTAAATTTATTCATATAACATTAACTTTAAAGTTAATATTTATTTTTATATTTTTCTATACAAATTTATTAAAAAAGGTGCCTAGAAAAATCCTTTTTTTTTTTTACATAACAGGTGAAATGGAAACTAACGATCGTTAACGGAGACAAACGGTGATTTGCATCTATCGTGTTATCTAGGGGCTTATTTGCTTGATTTTTAGTTCAAGGGATTATAGGCCAATTAGACAAAAGTTGAGAGACTTAACAATAGTTCTGCCTTGGAGATAATTATGGTGACTCAGAGATGAGCCAGCTTTAGACGGAGCTATCGGCCAACACTGGTTATATTTAGTGGTTTCACTTTTAATTTTATTTTTACATAAACATTGATTTGATAATTTTATATAATAAAAAAAGTAATTAAAATTTTTTATTTAGATAAAAATATTTAATAAGTATTATGTATAAAATAAAAAATTAATTATTATTTATTTATTATAAAAAAATTATTTAATTAAATTTTATATAAAAATTAAATTAAAACAATTAGATTTGACAAAAAGAGTATTAAATATTATTTATTTGTTTATTAACTACCAATAATTATAATTATCAATACTTTTTAACAATTAAATAAAAAATAATACTTTAAAAGATTTTACTTCTTTTATTTTGTTTTAATAGACTTAATTTTTAATTTGAGATATTTAAATTTTATTTTTTATTTTTTAATGTATTTTGAATATATTTATATTTATTTTAATTTTTTTTAAAATAATAAATAAATTATTATATTTTTATTTTGTTGAATAAAAAAAACTAAAAAGTGGTGAAGAGAGTAATATCCACCGTAAAACTTGAAGTGAAAAACTTTGGGGATATAATTAACGACTTATTAGTCTGAATAGAAAGAATTCGATTTTTTAAAATAAAATTTTAAATTTGAGTTTTATTAATGAAAAAATAGGTATTGCAAGAACTTTCTCTTTTCAAAGGTCTTATGTAGATTCAATGTAATTATCGGATACCAAGAAATTAATAAAAACAAAAAAAAACTTTGAAAGTGTAGATAGGGTTGCAGTCAGAAGGTCCGACACGGAATTTAGTTTGGGGAACGGAGTATGTAAGGACCTGAACCTATATTAAATTTTTAATTAAGATTTTAAATTTTATGGTATTTAATTAAATCTTAAAATTGTCAAAATTTTTAAATAAGGTCCTGATTGATTGAAAGAAGATCATTAAGTCGGTTAAATCAGTTCTTAACTCGGTTAAATCAGTTCTTAACTCGGTTAAGTTTAACTGGTTAAGAAACCCAAAAAAAAAAAAAAAATAGTCACTAGACTTTTAATTTTAATTTTCAAAAGTCTAAAATATTCAAAAACCTCAAAAATGACTTATATATATATATATTTGCTTGTGAGGAAATTTTCATAAGATCCACAACTAAAAATTAATTTGGCATATATGTTAGTCTCAAAATTTTTTTTAATTTTTTGTAAATAGATTTATGATGCAAATATGTGGGACCTACTCAAAAATTTTGTTATGACAAGAAAAACTCAAAAAATTATTAATGATTAATTAAATTTTTAATGAATCATTTAAAGGATAATTTGTAAGTTATTTCAAATAATTAAAATTAATTTTTAATTATGAATCCCACAAACATTTTTATATTAAGAGAAAATTTTAGTTTAAGGAGTTTTTGAGATTATTGAAAGCTATAAGTTGTTGAAATTTAGAATTAAAAGTTTAGGAACTATTTTTGTTATTTAACTAATTGGATTTAACTGTGTTAAAAATGATTTAACGGACCTATTCTGCCTAATTGAAACCTTATTTGAAAATTTTAACAATTTTAAGACCTTAATTGAATATAATAAAATTTTAAAACCTTAGGTACAAATTTAATATAAGTTCAACTCCTTAGGAAATTTACAGTTTTTTCATTTCAAGAAAATCTATAGCAGTACGTTACTTTATTGGGTATGTTCCTGTTTTTGCGAGGAGAGATGCTGTTGTGGGAGGCCGTTGTTTTGCTTTCTCTTTTGTCCAAAATAATCAACCTCCTTTTTTGTTGAATCAAATTAAGAAAAGAGAATTGAATAATAATATGTAAAAAATCACTAAGTAGTAAAAATTTGAGATTAATGATATGATATAAAATATATTATTAAATAAATTAAGGACTTGTTTGGTATAATAGTTTTAAAGTAACGGTTAACGATTTTGTTCAAACCGCTAAAAATACATATTTAGTAAACTTATTTATTTTAAAATCATTATAAATTAAGTGTTTAGTAAAATTTTTTATTTAGTGATTTGAAACTAACCAATAATGTTTAGGGTCAAAGTTGTTAATGAATTGAAAAAGCTACCAAAATAGTTTTTTATATCAAATCGCCAACGAATTAGAATTTTTTAATTTTATAAACAGTTTTATCCTTTTAAATTTTTAATTTTTGGGTGCATTTTTTAATTAAACTTATTTAATTTGTTTCAACTTTATTTTTTAACTTTAATAATATTAAATAATTATTATATTTTTATTTTTACTTTAATTTATCATAAAAATATATTAACTTAATAAACAAATTTTGTTAATTAGAAGAAAAGAATAAAATTTTTTATATTTTATTTAAAATTAATATAATTTTTTATTAAAAATAAAAATTAGTATATGATTATACTATTTTAATTAATTTATTCATTATTATTATTTTTACAAAATTAATACTTTTAATAATAAAAATATAAAAAATACATATAGGACCTATTTGGTACAGCGATTTTGGGATAACGATTAGTGATTTTGTAATACTCCAAAATTTTTAGAGCATTAAAGTAAATTAGGGACCTAATTGTGAGGAAATATCATTAATGAATGTAATAGCAAAAATTTTCAAAGTTCAGGGACTAAAGAGAAAGGAAATTAGGATAAGGATCCAGGCTGATATTTTTGTCCTCAGCCACGTGTTTTGCTCTTCTTCAGCTTCATCTTCTCCCCGATGCTCGGCCTCCCGAAAGCTTCCCCAAGCCACCGACTCATCCCCTTTGAGAAAATTGGTGGCAAAGCTTGAGTTTTCTCCTTCTTTCTTGTTAAATCACAAGATTTGGGGCTTAGAATCTTCCCTTTCAACCCAGAAAATTCCGGTTCTGCTCTGCTCTTCTTCCTTGTCCGCCGGCTGCTGTAGGTTTGAATTTCTGGGCATTTTTCGGGTAAGCCACAGCCAAGAAATCATCTCCTTAGCCTTGATTTAACTTGGGTTACTCTAATTTTTGGTTGTGGTTCTTGAATTTTGGGTAGTTTCCGTGAGTTTCCCCTGCAGATGCCGCCGGCTTCTTCTCCCTGTCAGTTCCGGTTTGCTTGCTGGAATTCAGGTATGTTGACAGCCCCATTAAGTCCGAAATTACCCATTTAATTGTTGGGTTTTGTCCATTAAGTGCTGCCCTGTGTTTGCCCGAATTTTTGCTAAAATGGAGGAGGAATTTCCGGTAGCATTTAGCAGCATTTAAATGTATTTTTGTGCTTGGTTTATGTAGGAATTTTGTTAATTAGGCTGTTGTGATGTTTAGAAGAGAAAGTCCCGTGTGTGTGAGTTGTGGTTTGCTAAAGCCATGCTCTCCTGCCCGTGAGAAATGGGGAAATTTTGGTAGCTTAAGCTACGTTTTTAAGCTTAGTTTAAGTGTGAATTAGCTTAAATTGGGTTGTTGTGATTTTGGAGAAAATCCCGTGAGATTAGTTATTGTTTTGCTAAGTTTGGAAGTTGAAGTTACTGTTCACGGGCACTGTTTACGGGCACTGTTCACACACCGAGGGTTAACAATTAACGGGGATTTAAATGATTAGTTTGTGATATGAGAACAAATTTGGAGATGTTTGGTCATGTGGAGATTGATAGAAATAGCACTTTGATTAGGGGTAGACCTAATGATGAGTTTACCTTGAATTTGTGATAGTGGTATTAATTCTTGAAATATTTTGATTAGGTTCCCAATTGTTCTGTCAGTTAGCACTGAGATTGAGTGCTCGATTTTATGCGAGTGAGGTAAGTAAATTATGGTAACGCCCTTTGATTTTCAAAGCATGTATTGATTTGTTTTTGAAGTGGTGGCGGCACTAAACCCATTTTATACAAAAATGAGCATGATTGATTTGAAATGAGATTTTGATGCTTTTCATTAAATTGAGCATGCCTACTTGGATTTTAATTGATTGTCCTGATGATCTGAAAGTGATTGGTGAATTATGTTTTTCTGTTAACTTCAGCCTGTTTTGTCTCCGATGTGGTCATGTTTCTGTAATCCTGTTAGTGGGAGTTAAACGCTAACACATGTCGGCACATGTTGATATGTTATTAGTGACCCCGCTAGTGGGGGTTAAACGATAGCACATGTCGACACATGTCGACACATGTCGATATGTTATTGATAGAACCGGTTCGTTCGAGTGACCCTGCTAGTGGGGGTTATACATCATCAAATAGTGACCCTGCTAGTGGGGATTATACACTAGTAAATCGTGTGCCTACCAGTGGAAGGTTTATAACACTGGCCGTGACCTATAGAAGAGACGTCTATTTCGTTCCCGTATTGTATCTGTTTTTTGTGATTGCACTTGTTGGCATGCTATAAGTTTAATTAAGGGCACTCCATATTTATTTACTGAGTTTATCTCATAATTTTTCCTTGTCCATCATTTCAGGAAGTGAAACCGAAGACGGGGAAACCAAGGGAAGTGACGAGTTAGAAAGCTAACCATTTTGCGATTGATATAGATTTTAGAAATAAATCATGATCTTGTAAGCTAGAGTGTATTTGGAGATTTTATGATATTAGAGAATTTTTAAAGATTTGATCTTTAGATTTTAATGGTATCAGATCGTGGAGTGATAAGTTCCGAGCCTTGTGCATTTGTGGGACCTTCTCACGAGTGCACGGCGTCTGTCGCACCTCGAATTCGGGTTTTGGGGCGTGACAGATTTTGCTTGAATTATTAAATATAGATGTTTAGTAAATTTATATATTTCGAAATTATTATAAACAAGGTGTTCGTAAAATTTTTATTTAGCGGTTTGAGAGTTGCAGATTAGTCGATTAGAGTCAAAATCACTAGCGGATTGAAAAAATTAGCTTAGGTAATTTTTTGTACCAAACCATTAGAGAATTGGATTTTTTTAATTTTACTGACAAATTTATCAATTTTAATTTTTTAATTTTTTGTCACATTTTTTAATTAATATCTAATAAATTTCAATTTTGTTTTTTTACTTTTAATAACATTAAGTGATTATAATATTTTTATTTTGTACATTAATTTATCAAAAAACAAAATTTGCTAATTAGATAAAATAATTAATTTTTTATTTAAAAATAATATAATTTTTTCTTTGTTAAAATTAAAAATGAGGGATTAATTACATTATTATAATTAATTTTATTTATTTGTTTTCTTATTATTTTTTATAAAATTAATAATTTTAATAATAAAAAATAAAAAACATTTTTAAAAAATATACTTAATTATTTTTAAACATGTTTTTATTAGTCATTTAATATTAAATAATAATTATTAATTATTGTATAACCAAATAATTATATTTATTGAATCCATTATTTATTTTTTACTATTCATCATCCGTTATCTGTTAATAGCCACAAGTTACTAGCTACTGCTACTATTACTTGCTACCGGCTATCACTACCCACTACCTGCTACCACTATTATTATATGTTACCCATTATCTGTTATCTGTTAAATTTTAACCGTTATATCAAATAAGTTCATAATTGTTTTTAAACATATCTTTATCGGTCATTTAATTTAAAATAACAATTGCTAGCTATCGTATAACAAACAGTTATATTAATTGAATCTGCTATCTATTATTTACTATCCATTATCCACTAATTGCTATTTACTACCTACTATCACTATCCGTTATCCGATATTTACTATTTATTGAATTTTAATCGTTATATCAAATAAATCCTAAGTCATGAAATATTGAAGATTTTAATAAAATAAAAAATATAACCATTAAATAATAAAAAATTTATCTTCTAATATTTTAAAGAATGATCACGTGATTATTTTTGTTCTAAATTTTCTTCCCATAAAATTTATCCCTTTTGTCATTATTTAAATAAAAAAATATATTTTGCCAATGATCTAAATAACTTAGTAGCTATCTGTTTTTATTGAAAGTAAAAGATTTTAAATTCAACTCGCATGACATACAAATAGGGTCGGATAAATAATGAAAGATGGTTACTTCTTATTATATAATAAAAAAAAGTACATTTTAGATCGACTTGTATTAAGAAATTGTAGTAATTTCTGTAAAATTATCTTGATAACTTTTAATTTTCCTCCTCTCTTTCTTTGTTAAGGGCGTTAATTAATTTCCAAGTATTCATGCGTCCACAATGTAGATGCTTAAATCTCTTAACTTTTAACTTTAAATTAAAAATTTTAAATTAATTTATACTAATTCAGACAAAAACTTTATTAATTATTTATGCTTTTTCTTTGTTCGTTCACTTAAATTTGTAACTTAATGTAAAATAAACTTATGAGTAATAGATATTAATTAATTTATCGACTTTTAACCGTTACAAGTATCAATAATTTTTAATGGTAAAAACGAACATAATCAGTACTTTAGAAAATACTATTAATATTTAAAAATTTATGTCAAACACCTTGTGGTGTTGAATCTGTTGATAGAGTCGCAGTACGAAGGTCCGACACGGAATTTTGTTTCATGTAATCTATGAATTTTAGATAGCCTAAGCCCATTTTAGGAAATTACTGTTTCTTTTTTGTAAAGAAAATCTATAGTTTTTTGTTACATGTGAAAAGAAACAAATTAACTAATTAATGGCGGAGAAAAGCAACGCCCATCATATCCCTTTTTAAGAAAAAATTCAATCCAGGAGGCGGAGAATCGTAGACCGTGGTTCCAACCGACAAGTTATGCCCAATTTCAGCCAAGAAATCTGCAGCAGAGTTCCCCTCACAGAATATATGTTGAAAAATAATAGAATCAAACTCAGCACGGAGCCTTCTAATGTCTGATATAAGAACTGTCGCCAAGCTGTCATGTTCTTTTAATCCCTTAATGACCTGCACTGCAGATGAAGAATCCATTTCCACAACTAAATGCTTGAGCCCTTTACTTCCGCATAAAATTAACCCTTCTCGACATCCCCATAGCTCAGTCAAGAAAATAGAAACCAGTCCAATATTCACTGAGAAACCCTGAATGAAAGCTCCTAAATAGTCTCGAACTACCCCACCAGCACTAGCAAGCCCAGTCTCCCGCAATCTAGACTCATCTGTATTTAGCTTACAAAAGGGGGGACTGGTGGTTGCCAACTGATCCATCTTGGAACTTGAGATTTAACAAAAATGTTACAAGCCATTGCTTTGTATGTATACTGTGCATAAGCACAAAAAATCTATAGTTGTTCGTTACTTTGTTGAGTTTGTTCCCAATTTTAGGCATTAATCCACAAATCACCTTTGAACTTTATAAATCTTACGTTTATTCAACGCTGAACTAAAAGATTGAAAGTTTAAGCTCCTATCAGAAGGGTTAAACCCAACTATCGTCCCTATACTTTGTGAAAAAGTTCAATTTAACCCTTCTACTATGGAATCACCTCAAGTCGTCCCTCTACTTCATTTTGAGCTCACGTATCCTCCCACTACCATTCAAAATGTGATCAATTTCGTCCCTCCATCCATTCCATGGCTAACACCGTCAATTTTTACCGTTAAAGGCTAACAATTTGACGTTTAACATATATTTCTATCTTATTCTTTTCTCCAATTTAGCTATAAGCAATGCCACATCATATTTCCTAATAATATCTTTCTACATGAATATTTTACGAACTTCTTTTTTTCAATCATTGGCCACATTTATTTATCTCTTTTTATCAACTTTTTAGTTGAGTTAATCAAAGAGATATTTTTTAAAACTATGGTAGGTAATTAAATAAATTTAATTTTAAAAAAATAGATAAAAATTTTTGAATTGTATTAAGGTTTAAAAAATTGTAACTAGAAAAAAAAATTCTAATATCTATTACTATTCCTTTAATTGTAAATTTTGGGTGGTGTGAAATGAACTCACAATTTGTGATTTTATTCATGTGCTAAGCAAGTATATTAGTGAAGTATTTTTCTATATTTATATTTAATTTGAAAATTAATAGATATAAAATTTTGATATTCATTATTTATTTATATATTAAAATTCTATTTTTATTATTCAACTCACTAAGTACATGTATACTTGTAAATATACTTATATATTTGTTAAATATTATAACCTTTTAATACCAATTAAAATATAATTAAATCTATTGCAAAATATATACTTTAGTTCATACATAATATACAAACATAAGTTTCTTTGAATGCACTAGTTCAATATAAGATGTGTGCTTTGAAAATTATTCTTAAAAAATATGATTTTCTTTCTTAAACTATAAAAAATTATTATTATTTTAAGACAGATTCAAAAAATATTTGTCTCCTAAAATAAATAAATAAAAGTTAACATCTATAAAATAAAATATTATATCCTTAATTAGTACCTTTTACTACCTTTTGTGTTTATATTCCAACTTAGTTATGTATTTTATTATAAATATAAAGTCATATATTTTTATATATGTATTATTTTTTTGATATTTATAATCAAGATGTTTCTAAATAAGCCTTTTTTCATCTTGAGACTAATCTTTATTTAAGTTATTTTAAGGGTTCACCTCTTATATATCGAACTAATGCGTTTAAGGAAATTTATATTTATATATTATGTATGATCTAAAATATATGTTTTGTAATAGATTTAATTATATTTTAATTTGTATTAAAAAGTTATAATATTCAACAAATATATAGTACATCTACAAGTATACTTATACTAAACGAGTTGAAAAATAAAAATAGACCTTTAATACCTAAATAAATATTGAATATTAAAATGTTTATATATTAATTTTTAAATTAAGTACAAATATAGATAAATATTTCACTCACATAGTTACTTAACCCACTCATGTACATGAATAGAATTGCAAATTGTGATCTCACTTTAGACCACCAAAAATTTACAATTAAATGGATAGTAATAGGAATTATTTTCTAGTTATAATTTTTTTAAACCTTAATAAAATTCAAAATTTTTTATCTATTTCTTTTTTTAAAATTAAATTTATTTAATTACTTACCATATTTTTGAAAAATATCCTTTTGATTGACTTAATTAAAAAGTTAATAAAAAGAGATAAATAAACATGGCTAATAATTAAAAAAAATTGGTAAAATATTCATGTAGAAAGATGTTAATATGGGTATGATATGGCATTGGTGGGTCCTATTATAGCCAAATTAGAGAAAAGAATAATATGGAAATATAAGTTAAATGCCAAACCGTTAGGTTTTAACAGTAAAAAGTGACGGTGTTAGCTATGGAATGGATGTAGGGACGAAATTGATCACTTTTTGAATAGTAGAGGGAAGACATGTGAGCTCAAAATGAAGTAGAGGGACGACCTGAGGTGATTTCATAATAAAAGAGTTAAATTGAACTTTTTCACAAAGTAGAGGGGTGATAGTTGGCTTTAACCCCTATCACAAAGGTTCCAAGGATTTATGCTCTCTGTCGACGGAAAACGTTAACTCACCGTCAAATAAACTAAAAATTTATAGAACCAGTCCTAAAAGATTTAAAAGTTGACAGTTTAATCCTAAATGTTTTCATATTTAATAAATAACTTTACCATATATATAAGAAAAATGTTAGATATCTGCCAACAGGCTCAATCTTAAAAAGGAATTATAGTTGAGATCAAAGAAAACTTTTTAGTCAAGTTAATATAGAAAGTTTAGAAAACTGAAAAAATAATTTTAAATGATAGAAGTACATGATTATATAATTGACAAGTCAAATTTAGAGAATATAGAATTAGTAAATTAAGGGAAATCATTAATTTACTATGCTTAACATAAATAATGAATAAATAAATTAGATTAACTTTTTATTTACTCAATACACTAGGTAAAAACATGATTAGTATAAAAATTATAAATATTATTGATAGAAATCTAGAAATAGAAAGTATCAATGAAAATATTTTAAGAAGAATCAAAGAAATGGGAAAATCCCTCTCTCAAGAATTTGACTCTATAAAAGGTAGAGTAAATAATGTAAAGAATTCTATAGATCTTAATGAACTAAAGAAAGCTATATAGTCTATAAGAGACTCATAAATTTTAATATCTTGGGTTAGAGATATAGAAATTAAAATAGAAAAAATTTTCAAAATATTGAAAGCAATTATTGAAAATTTTGTTATAAAAGCCTAAGATGTATAATAAAATTGTTCCATAAATGGAAAGTGATATAAATAAAAGTTTTTATAAGATTCAAGCTCAACTCAAGGATCTAAAACATATTGTCATAGTAGTTTGCAGTGGGAGAAATATTATAGAAAGAAGTGAGAAACTTAAAATCATACGAAAATTTTTCACATAAAAATTAACCTAAATCTAAAGAAATAACTCTTTCCATGTTAAGAACTTAAGAAAAGACATTGAAAAAGAAGATAAATACTCAAAGAGAAGAATTAGATAATTTGTGCAAACATATTACTAGAATAATTGAGTAATTAGAAAATATGAAGATGAATATGCAAAGAGAAGACAAGGGTATTATTGAAACAATAGAAGAAGAAAATGATGATAGATGGCTTAATATAACACCAATTGAATTCCCACTCTATAACTTGGGATAGAGGCTAGTATCACTCGAGAATTTAGAAGAAATAAAAACCAAAGGAGTGAAGTATTGAATGACAGAAGGTATTAAAGAATCAAAAATTGAAATAGACTTAAAACACTAGTTCAAGTCAAAGAACAAATATTTAGCACAAAATGATATTTGGCTAGAGTTAGACTGGGTCATAGACATAGGAAGAGCCATCAGTGATTGGGTTCAATCCACATTGATGTTATGTATTAAATAGGACAAAACATTGGACAATAATTATCTCATCTCTTGACCACCCCAATCCAAACATGAGATATAATGGCATAGGACATAAATTTTGTCTTATCCCATATCTTATTTAGCACTCTTAACATGCCCTTAAGGACTTGCTTAAGTCCAAGGTATTATTTCTATTTTCTTGCTTTTTCTAGTTTCTGGAGAATACTATAAAATAATACTTTGGTTTTTACTCATACAATGATTTTTGGGTTTCACCAAATTTTCTTGTTTTCCATTAAACTTATATTTCTTTCAATTGCTCAAAAAGCATTATTGAATTATCTAATTCACCACTACACAAATTTATTTTGAATCATTGTATCTTCAGAGAAAAATGTTGATTCAACCCGATACAAAAAGGGACATATTTTCTCTTAGGGTCCGTTTGGCTCACAAAAAATAATTTCCAAAAAATACTTTCTATATTTTCCAGTGTTTGAAAAATATTCTTGGGAAAATAGGTCAATGGAAATTTAAGCTAAGTCAACAGGAAATGTAATAGCCAATTTCCAGAAAACGACTTTCGAATTCAATTTTGGGAGCTTGTTTACCAACTTAAAAAACATGCGGCTCCTCAGGATCTAATATGCAAAATATGTAGGCTTTTGGGTTAAAAATTGAGCATCAAGAAACTCCATTTGAACTCCAACACCGTTGAATACAAAAGCCATATGTAGTTTTGCACTCCTATTTTGAGATGGTTTTCATCGATGAATCAAAAATATTCCTAGAAAGCTCAAAGTTGGAATCAGATGAAAGTGTAGTCACTCTAATTAGTAGTGAAAGGCGCGCCCTCTCGGCGCCCAGTGATTACATCCTTAGGGTAAAAATGCCCCTAAAGTGTTCAATAAAATGCCGAAGTCAATAGCATTGAAAAATGCCCAAGCCTAATTTTTTGATTTTGAAGTGTTTCATATGGAATATCTTACATGATTTTGGGATTTGTTCAGGGGTTTATAATGATGAAGATAGTCTAGCCCTGTCTTTTAGCTAAATCTTCCCTGTTATCATATGGTTTAGGTTGATCTTTGCAAGCTTTTGGAGTCATTCTCCTTACAAATATACATTTTACAAATTTAT